AATAAATCGTTGTGTGCATAATACGAAAAAGGATGCTCTTCTAGATAAAATTGAAAGAAAATATAAATAAGCAAATAAATAAATATAAATAATACATGAAATGGTTGCATATTAAATAAAAGTTACTGTAGAAATAAATAATAACATTATGTTCCTTATTGTAGTACAATTATTATTCTTGCCATGATGTTAATTTCTACTTTTTATGGCACAATAGGTTCATTACATTTTTTTTAATTTTTAATTTTTGAGATAATTATTATAAAAGAAAAAAAGGAAGAAGGTAAAATGCATTATTCTAATTATCATATTTACACTTGTTTATTTGTTTGGGTAAAGAGGCTATAAACACAGGGGAGGATAATTCCTCCCTTTTCACCAAGACAAGTGAGTTGTGAAACGAGCATAGAAGAATGAACAGCTTGAAACAGAAATTAGAGATGACAGCATGAAATGACAATATTAGTGTAAGGGCCAATACAATAAAAATAGTAGCTAGACTTAACGAAGAAGAAACAAAATTGAAACAAAAACAACGGCTATTTCTAAAAACAGGGAATATAACCCGACGTTAGTAAGGCTCGAACTATAGCTGCAATGGTAATAGCCAGGGTGCAATGGAGACTCATAACCACTGCGCGCTCTATGAGCGGAACCTGCATGATTTGTTTATTTTTAATTCAGAGATTTAGTGATTGAAGCAACAATTGTTCATGCATATCACAGTAATTTTGCGTTTAACCGTAGTAGCTACAGCTGATGTAAACGCTTTAGAAAGCGCATAAATCAACTGTCCAAAAAAGATTATTTAAATGGTCCTCATATCCACACCTTCTCCAGATCGTTACCAAAATTTGGTCATTTCTTCATTGGACCATAAAAAAACTATTTTGGAAAGTTTCATTTTGATCTTTTTATAATTTGGACGTTAGCACTTTAAATGATACTCAAATTCACTCTCGAATCCGGATCGTCACCAACATTTTATAATTTCGTCCATGTATTTTGTAGAAACTTTCTCTAATGATTCGTTCAGATCAGTTTATCCATTTTGTAATTATATCTGCTCTGGGATGTTTTCCCTTTAAATGGTCCTTATATCCACACCCTACTCCGTATCGTCACCAAATTCTAATTATTATTTGATTGGACTATGACAAACCATTTGAGGAATGTCGTGGCAAAATGGTTAAGTTGTCACACAGGCCAGTATTGAGTAAATGAGCTTTAAAATACGGGAGCTCTAAAAATTGCCTAAAAATCCAAATTTGTTTTTCACTATAGATCAACAGTTTAATGTCTTAATTAATCATGTCCCAAAGTAATAATTCTGAAAATGGTCAACACATTGTTTATTTAACGTTATTTTAATAGTCATTCTATTAAACAATATATACACAAATAACTTTGAAAGGCATTACTCAAAACCATGTTTATCTTGACTCTAAGAATACTGTACTTTCACTTTATTTAACGTTATTTTAATAGTCATTCTATTAAACAATATATGCACAAATAACTTTGAAAGGCATTACTCAAAACCATGTTTATCTTGACTCTAAGAATACACTTTACAATCACTTAGGCTTGAAATGTCCAATTTTAATGACTTACCCCTCATTTTAAAGATCACATACTCAGGTATCTGCATATACTAATAATTTAAATTAAAATTTTGCTACAACTTAGCCATTTTGCCACAACATGCCTCATTTTTGAAAGCTTCATTTGAATCCATTGGGACTTTTTTTTAATGGTCCTCATATCAACACCCTGCTCCGGATCGTAACCAAAATATAATCATTTCTTCATTACACCATAAAAACAATTATGGAAAGCTTCATTTCGATTCATTGATTGGTTTATTGAGATAATAAAGCATGGTTCGTTAGAAATTTAGTTGGCCCTCAAATTTACACCCTAACATGGATCGTCACCAAAACATTTTAATTTCTTCCGTGTAATTTGGTTAAACTCTCCTAAAAGTCTCATTCTGATCAGTTAATCCGTTTTTGAAAAATCTTGTGTTGAATTTTTGCCTTCAAATCCTTTTTGATCCTCACAAACACACACCGCACATCCTTCATGGTCTATGCTTTGAAAATGATTGGAAAATTCCAAACTACTGAAAGTGACCAAAGTGCCGGGCGGAATAACCCAGTGCAAAACGATTGTGAAGAATTATGTAAGAAAAAGGGAAGAAAAAAAAAAACAATGGCTTTTCCAGCTAATGCTAGGAAAAGCCAATTATGGTAAAAACTAACCCCCACCAACCGGCAACCATCCCGGAATTTATGAACCAAGGTTTCATGGCCGGGATTACAAAGTTTTTAATTTAAAAAATAAAGTTAACTAAACAAGGGGTAAACTATTCCCCACCGGTATTTTTGAGTCAATGATTCGGGGCTGACATTTTAACAATCAATATAAAGACCAGGAAAATTATCATGGATAATGAAAATATTTCAAGAATGGTAGTGATAATCAGAGAAAGTGCTTCTTATAATAGTTGTTTTATAATTTAAGAGACTGACATTCTTTATTTGATTTTGGTACAATCTTCATTTTAAAGAACCATTCATTACAGGACAGTTTGAAATTTGGGGAATGCTATTTAGTTTTAATCATTCTATATAACAACATAAACAACATATAAACAATTGCATATTTCTTCCTGTATTCGAATATTAGTTCTATCGTGTGCCACATGTGAACTTTGATGGCTTTCTGGTGTATCAGTTCACTGGAGCATGAAATTCAATTTGTAAATAAAATAAAGTAGTACAGTATGCAGTTCTCAATACTAAGTTACAGTGATTCTCTGATAAAATAAACAATAACAAGAAAGTCTTGTTTCTTTAAAATGTGTACAATCTGACGGTAAAAGCTGTTAACACAATAACCTGTGGGATGCCAATTTCAACATTTCCTTTTTCAGAAAACTTCGTTGGTAAATATTTTAAAACTATTTTAAATTAAATATCATTAAAGCCATAACTTTCTAATTTAATTAGAAGGTGGTATGGATTCAAGGTATTTAAATGTGTCGAGGAAACAAGCTCCAATCACTTAATGGTCATTAAAATGTCCCATCCATTCATCTGATCTCGATGATGGCAAGTGATTGTTCAGTGGCAATTCCTTAACTTAAATAACCCTTGCCACATCAATCATTTTGCATATTTTCTGCCCTAAGCATGAGCTTGTGTACACTTCCCGGATATACTCATAATGACGTAATTCTCAGAGATTGAAACGTAGATTAGCTTGGCTGTATCTCAATGTATGTGTGTCACGGACGTTAATAAACAATCATCTATTACTCCGACCAGTATAACAATGTACAATATTTATTTAATACTACAAACAGTAAATAAGAGTGTGATCCCATCACACATACTTCAATATCCTAATCCTAAAAACAAAACGAACAATTATAAATTAGAAAATCCAAAATGATCCCTAAAAACGGTTACCAAGGCAACAGTGAGTTACTCGAGCGAGAGAGGAACTGCAGTAATGATAAATCAAGTTCACCTCATAGAAGTAGGTCTAAGTTAAATAATAGTCTTCAACACATAGTGATGTATATAAATGCAACTTACATGCATGGAACTTACTGGTGTGACGAGAGGCTACTGTATTAGCATAAAAAAATCAGTATAGATTCGTAAAACTTATTAATTCTTCTTTCTTTCTTTCTTTCTTTCTTTCAAGACATTTATTAACTTCCATAGAACACAATGGATTCTAATAATTAACAAACTGTAAATATCTAATCATAGTAAATATATTAAATTCATGTCACCGGCTTAGGCTAGAATAGGCCTTAGAACATCTAAGCAACCCAGGATTCGCGTTAAGGAAAGGCCTTGCTCATTAAAATATCTAATAACTCCATAAACAGTGTTTCAATAGAAGCATAAATCATAGTTAACAGTGCAGAACAATATTATCTATCAGCTCTAAATACTGATTACATAACAAAAAATAATGAAGAACTATCAAAAAAGCTTACATTAGAGATGATGTAAAAAACTAATAGACTAAATAGAAGGTGGCAGACATGAATAAAATATGAAAGCCGAGAGAAGCATAATGTGTGCCTGCATTCTTAACGAGTTATTATAGCAAACCTCAAGATCTTTTATTGTTTGAACAGTATAGTTGCACCATACTACTACTACATAGCAGGGGTGGCGTCAGCCCCACTCCCCGTCGGGGAGAGCTGCCTCCCCTTCCCCCGGAAGCTCGACAACGCCTACTTTGCTTTCGTCGGGGAAATGTGACCCCTCGTCAGGGCATCGGCCACGCCCCCATCGGGCAAATCCTGGCGCCACCCCTAGTACATAGTGGTACAAAATTACTTAAATAAGTTACACGTCACCACATCGCAATATTTACTAAAGCTGCTTCTAGCTAGAGTATTATCCCTTATTACAAAGACCTCTTTTCTTGCGTCTAATGGAATCATTTAGGTGGGTGCAAAGTATGTCTGAAATTGATAACTTGGTCCACATTCACAAGTTTACTATCAGTAAGATTAATGTTGCTCATGATAATACCGATTTTACACTTCGTGGGAATTACAAGTGCATTTCCAATTTTACTAATAAGAGTACGTTTTGTATAAATATTTAACATAAAAATAACGCTTCGACTCCTTCATGGTGTCATTTTTAAGATCAATTGATGAAGTAAAAAATACAGCAACTATAATCAATAGAAAAAAGCTAATCTACAATGTCATAGTTCATAACAGTGTGATATTAATCCTTGTGTTAGATAAAAAGCTTTGCTTTGACAATTAAAACCCAGTCTGAATAAACAATGTGACTCTGTCAAAGCAAAGCTTTTTATCTAACACAGGGATTAATATCACACGTTATGAACTTTGACATTGTAGATTAGCTTTTTTTCTATTGATTATAGTTGCTGTATATTTTTTACTTCATCATTTGATCTTGAAAATGACACCATGAAGGAGTCGAAACGTCGATCTTTTCTTTTTAGCGTTATTTTTATGTTAAATATTTCCAATTTTGGCATTAAAAATCACAGCATGCACTATACTATATTGCTCACAAACGTCGGCAAGTTTGCGTAAACAAATAAAGGATGGAGCTATAATGTCACATCAACAACATAACTAAAATTATTCATAACCTTTTCATAGAGAATACAGTTAATGGAAAATAGTCAGAACTGAAGGCATCATACATAACCTCAATATCGGACGGAAAAACGTTAGGCATAAGTGCAATTTCTCTAGCATCAATTAATTCCATACCACACATTCTGGGATCATTCAGTAATTAAGAAAAAAGGGGGAAGAGATAACTAATATTTTTTTCTCCTGTACGCTACTAATAGAATTATATACACGCCACTGATATAATTATATATGTATGGGTGTGTGTCACAATATAAAATTATAAACAGCATGGATGAGAATTATAACGAAAATGTTGATTTGTTAAGAAAGTAAAACACATACTGTAAGTATTTGATGCACCCCACCGTGTTAAGCCTTTTTGTACACATAATTTAATACAGTAATAAACAACGAAGGCTACTGGTTGCTAGTACACTATAAATTATGGAAATAAAATTGATACATGGACATCTTATATTTCTTTTTACAACGTTTGAAGATTCCTTCATCTTAATGAGATATCATATATAGAAGATGGATCTTTCATCGGAACCTCTCTTCAGTCTATGTAAGTAAAATTGCGTTACTAGTGTGCAGGCGTTATAATGAATTATCAATTTAAGTCATCATTTAATTGCTTGTTTATTTGTAAAGTCAAATGCTAAACTGTTTTCTTTAATTATATCAATGTAGCTTTACTGTCGCTTAAACTACATTTTTCTCGTTTTCCCTAGCTATATTTACGGAAATAGGCTAACGCAAATCACTAGCGAGATGTTCAACGTAAGAGGTAGATCCCTTAAATATCTGTAAGTAAAAATAAAAAACAGCAACAGTAACAGTAACACTGAAGAAGCAGAAACAGCAACAACTAAACTTACTGTACATATTTATAAAACAGAACAAATGACTTTTCCTCATCACCATGGGTACTGATGTTGAAATTACAAACTTAAAACAATCATGACAGAAAGAAGAAATAAACAATCAGAAAAAATGGCATTTACTGCTGATCAGGAAATGCCACCAACCAAAACAAAATCAATATCAAGGGATACCCCTCAAAATCAGAAGAATAACAATGGTTTTCCGCTAAAAGCCAACACTAACAATAACAAGATAATGTGAATTAACAAATCATCCCCCTGTTGTGTGCAATATATAGGTATATAATCAATTCGCTCAATCTGCTGGTTGTTGTTTTAGTGTACGGGTGTAAAGGTGCACGTATTATGCGTAGGCCTATAGCTAATTGGATGTATGGGGTTAAAATCCTCCTCGATTTTTTTTTTTATTATTATTTTTTTTTCATTTATTATTTTTTACAATTATTTTCTTTTATAAAATTGGAACTGCAGATTGTGAGATATACGGCTGAGAAAACACATATAAAAATAGCATCTTACTTAAACAAAAGCTGTGGCAGCTTCTTGGGAAAAGGCAATAATAACTACTTCCTATTGCTGTTGACTCGACCTCAATCAGACTCAAGCTATGGCTGCAGTGGTAATAGCTAAAGTTGGTTTTAAATTCATGTTTTATATCAGCGTACATTCAATATTATTTTTCATAATACTGTAGATGTATAATGAAAAATAGTGCTTAAAACTAATACTAAAGTTATAAACATCCTTTTATCGTCCTGTATTTGAAAATCTTTTCGTAATAATAAATATTGTGATGGTATGGCCTGTCAAAAAAAAAAACGTATTACAAGATTTGTAAGTGTAATTCCTTATGTAGATTCAAACTACTGGTGTTGCATTTAAATAAAGATTTACATTTAATTTTGAGTTTTCACAATAAATACACTCTGTATAATTTTAAAAATGTCTGATATTATTAATGTGTCATTTTCTGTTTAATACATTTATGATATAAGCATGTCTAAATGCAGAAATTCAACTTAAATTATAAAGTCACGATGCTGCTATCTAAAAATTAATTGCGTATTACATTTATTGCTTTTAGACCATAAATCAGTTAGATTAAATGAGCTACATACAAATGAGTTACAAAGGTAAAATGACTTGGGTATAGTTATAGAATTGTTAATATATTAGTTATCGAACACACATTTAATCATAAATTAAAATTGAAAAAAAAAAAAACAAAAAACAAACTAAGATACAACATCTTAATAATTACATTAATATTGTGATCAATGGTTTGTCAGTGGAGAAAATGGTTGAACCTATTTTGTGTCGCCGATAGCAACGGATTAGTATCAAGTGGTATCGTGACGTAACACTGTGGTACTCTATGTAATAAAATACGCGCATGACGAGTTTATTAAGCCAGAATGCTCTATAAACACCTACAGTAGAACCTCCTATTAAGGGGACACCTTCGGGACCAAAAAAAGTGTTCCCTTAATAGGGATAGGGGTACCCCTATTCAGAGGACACTAACCAAAAACGTAAAATTGTCCGCTTAATAGGGGTTTTTGGTATTTTTCATATAACGATGACGTATAAATCTTTATAATTTTATTTTTATAGACATAATTAGTTACAGTAGAATTAAAACTAATTTATAGCAATAATTTGCAATGCAAATACAATTCCTTCATAATATGAAATCAGCAGAAATATAACTAAAACAATAGTTTTATATGTTCCCAATATTGTTTCATGATGCAATGTTAATGAATGAATTAGGATCTTATGAAAGTGCAGGAAAAACGAAGAAAAAGAAATCAACGTGGTTAAGGTTCGAAATTGACAAGATTGCTTTATACGAACTAACACATGCAGTAGGCAAACATTATTCCAATATTCACTCCGAAGATTTGGGTAGAAAATTCTGGTTTATTGCTCAAATTTGAAAATTCAATTTTCATTTTCAATTAATTTAAATTTCAATTTATTCAGAAAACCTAAGTAAAATAGTATGTCTAGATAAACTTTAAACCAATAGAACAATTTCATTAAAATGGACAATACAGTATATTTATACATATACCAGAACAATAAAAATAAAAGCCACAACAAAATTGGATAAATTCTCAAAATAAAAATTTAATCAAATCAATAAGAGGTGAGAACAGAACACTTGAACAGATGCAAGCAAAACAACAACCCATGAAAATACTTAAACACACCAAACTATTACCAAACAAAGATTGATAGATTATTTTTTATTACAATTTCAGTTTAATATTAATAATAATAATAATTATTATTGTTGTTGTTATTGTTGTTGTTATTGTTGTTGTTGTTGTTGTTATTGTTGTTGTTGTTGTTGTTATTATTGTTGTTGTTATTGTTGTTGTTATTGTTGTTGTTATTGTTGCTGTTATTGTTGCTGTTATTGTTGCTGTTATTGTTGCTGTTATTGTTGTTGTTATTGTTGTTATTGTTGTTGTTATTGTTGTTGTTATTGTTGTTATTGTTGTTGTTATTGTTATTATTATTGTTATTGTTATTATTATTATTATTATTATTGTTATTTTTATTATTGTTATTGTTATTATTATTGTTATTGTTATTATTATTGTTATTGTTGTTGTTATTGTTGTTGTTATTGTTATAATTGCTATTGTTTTTATTGTTGTTGTTATTGTTGTTGTTATTGTTGTTGTTATTGCTGTTGTTATTGTTATTATTATTATTATTATTATTATTATTATTATTATGTTGTCTAACAAAAGCTCGCCCTTGACAAACAGCAGTAGAAATGTGATAATAGTTAGAAAGTGTAAGTGTCCTAAAATGTATAAAAATGTGTCATTATATAAAGTTAAGTGAATTTTTCTTATTTTGAGACTGCTGTATTTGTTGTGATACAATAGAAAAAAAATGAAGTGTCCCCATAATAGGGGTTATTTGACCATTTGGCACTTCTTAATAGGGGTGACCCCTGAATAGGGGTGTCCCATAGGAGGGGTTCTACTGTAGTTTGAAAAACTAAATCTTACTTTTGGGTGGGGACACCCTCCAAAAGTAACCCTTGCTTGTGGTGCTCGGCACCTCGATAGCAATTATCGTGCCACGCCCATAAGTAAATCCTATATCCGCTATTGTAGCGAGAGTGATGTTAAGTGTTCTTACCATTACGCTAAAAAACATCTCAGTGGAGGTCAGTAAATTTTTACTTTATCTTTTAATTATACCATGGAGGAAAGACTGAATATGACTATAACTACGATTGATTTTAGTATTGTTTATGAGTGATTAATTAACCAATTTCACTAAAAATAATTTTCTGTCTTTTAGCTATATATTTAATAATCCCATTGAGAATATGGAAGATGGAGCATTGTCTCATCTGGAACCAAATTCAACAGTGTAAGTACTGATCAACTTATAATCTATATAATCATATTTATTACATCATTATTATTATATACTGGCCTATATTTATTGTAAAATGATTACTGCTGTGATTTGGAAGAACGCATTATAGGCTAAAATCATAGTTTCAAGACATTGAGCAAAACGCCTTTCTTGTTAGCTTTTTGTTATGGAAATGATTTATATTGACTTTTTTTGTGTAAATGTACTAACTACACAACAGTAAAACATCCCAAAGTACTTTTTTAATGATTTCTTTTTCTATAACCCAGTCAAAATTGACATAATGCGCTTTTCCAAATTAAAACAAAAGTCAATAAAGCCTAAAAAATCTGATGGTATATATCCAGTTTTGCCAATAGAAAGCATCCTTTAGACTGGTTTTTAGGGGTTTAAATTCCATTATATGTCTAAATAACGTAAACGAAATAGCTTTTTCAGGTTTTCTTTTTAAATATTATTTACGGTCTTTTTCTCATCAACCAATGGAGGTAAGTTTTTGCTGCTCTTCAGTTGCAGAAGATGATTAGGAGACAAAGGCTCAAGATCATTTGGATCTTCCTGTCCAACGCAAAGCAGTGGTTCCAGAAAGTTAACCAAATAATTATAAAAAAAATCATCACTGAATTTGCAAACTGGAGAAACGGATACTTTCAAAGTATGTGAAGTAATAAATGAGCATCTTCCACACATGCCAAGCAATTGAACACTTACAAGTTAATAGTCTGCCGGCATACCTTCTCTGTGGGCCCAACCCACCAAGACTTAACTTCTGGCCAAACAAAGGGAAAGAGGCAACCATAACCCCACTCCCAAAAGTGAAAGGACCTGTGAACTTGAACCAAATTATACCCATTTCTATCACATACGTTTTTGTCTGTGTGCTAGAACATTTTGTTTCGTCATGGATAAAACCTAAGGTTGCGCTCCAACTTGACGAAAAGCAATTTGGAAACCGTATGGGCGCATCTACTAGTCACTATCTAGCATGTTACACTACTTACACCAAGGTCTTGATAAGCCTGGTCACAAAGCAACGGTTGTTGCAGTTGACTATCGTAAAGGCTTTGACTTAATTGATCATACAATTTCTGTCACTAAGTTGTTTAACGTTGGGGTTCAACCTGAATTGATTCTCTGGATTTGTCATTTTCTCTATAAACGCAAATGGCAGTCTTTCAATTTGACAGGAAATAACTTGCGGAGTTCCTCAGGGCACCAAGTTAGGTCCCTTAATTTTCCAAGTAATGGAAAACGACTCGCTTACAGATTCACCAAACCACTGGAAGTACGTGGATGACTTATCAATATGTGAAGTTCACAACAGAAAATCTCTACCGAAGATTCAACAACAATTAAATGAACTTGTACAATGGACTAATGATAATAACATGTAATTAACACTGAAAAAAACTAATTGTATGAGCATATCTTTTGCAAAATCTCAACCCACGGTAACATCACTTACAATTGATTAAAAAAAAATATAACTAATGCTGATTGTTTAAAGTTTCTTAAGATAATGGTTTTAAACGACCTCGAGTCAAATTGAATCTATTCAGAAGCGAGCATGTAGAATCATCCTTGGTCAAACTTTTTTATCTTATGATCAATCAATTAATTTGCTTAATCTTCAACAATTGGATAAAAGAAGAAAAGATATACTACTTATGTTTGCAAAAAATCTGAATACAATTATACCTAATGCACTGCCTCAAAAGAGAGGTGAAACATGTGGGAGAATACTTAGGAATTCCAATATGCAAGTGAGATGTATTGCAATACTGAATAATTCAAAACTTCTTGTTTTCCAGCATTGTACACTTCAGTTGAAAGAGTTTGAAGCTTATTGTACTAGCAATAAAGCTCTAAATGCAAATACGGTTCTCTTCTTTTATTTTACCAAATTTCCACTATTTCCTCAACATACGAACAATTTCCGTAAATTTCCAATTTCTGATTTACTGAAATCGTTAACAAAATAACAATCAAAATTATTAACAACAGTATTCATATAAAAGCAACATACAGATATAGTCTGTCATAAACACAGATTGGCAATCAACAATAAAGTCTAAATAATTTTACCATCCTGTTATATGCATAAATACATTTGTGATATCCATTCTAATACACATTAGCTGAACAACTAAATCTAGACAAAATTAAACAGCAAAATAACAATAATATCAAATGAACTCACCATGAGGTTGAGCTTCCTTCATTTTACTAGCACATACTAGCCCTAATAGTATCACTGCATTACCTACTTTTGGTGTGCTCTGCACTATGATAATGACTGAAATGAACTGGTAATGAAACAAAGAATGGCTAACAAAGAGAGCACCTGGCTACTATGCAAATTAGAGTCAAAGTAGAACAAAAACAAACTGATCAAGCTTGCAACTCAAGAAACTTTCACAAATAAGGCAGAAACTCACGAGTCCATCTTTTCCAAAATGCGTCTGCAAGATGTTGAATTTGTCGCCATCGTCTCCGATGGTACGATATGTTTTTCTCATTAACCAATGGAGGTAAGTTTTTGCTGCTCTTCAGTTGCAGAAGATGATTAGGAGACAAAGGCTCAAGATTATTTAAATCTTTTGTGACTTAGTTATTGGTCTTCTATTTACGATTGCTTCGACTTCGCACATAAATGTTACAGGTGTGTCATGTGTTAAGCTTTGTTCTTTCACAAGGGAGTACATTATCTTACGAATACTCCTAATCTGCCTCTCCAATATGCCTCCATGGTGGGATCCCGACGGAGGATTAAAGACCCAATCAATGCCTCGTTGGAGTAGGCTGTCATGAATTTTCTATTGATTCCATTTTTGAATTTCTTGCTTCATCTCTTTTTGAGCTCCAACTATATTGGTACCATTGTCGGAATATACTAACTTCACAGGTCTACGGCGTGAGACAAATCGACGGATAGCATTTACACATGCATCTATATCCAAAGAATCGTCTACCTCCAAGAGTATAGCTTTAGATGCCATGCATACAAAAACAACACCATACCTCTTCACCGATCTTCTTCCTTGCTTCACTTCAAGTGGACCGATGTAGTCCATACCAACGTTGGTAAATGGTGCTTTACCATATTCCAGTCGGTCCTCGGGAAGGTTTGCCATTTTTGCTGCATAACTTTACCAAACCGTTGCCTGCACTCAACACACCGGTTCACTATTTTACGAGCCATAGAATTAGAAGCGAGTATCCAGAATTGTTCTCTCAATAGGGATAACATATAGTTTCTACCACTATGGCCACTTTTATGATGCATATCTTCCATAATCAACTCTGAAACCTTGGAAGTTGTTTGGTAAAATCATCTGATGCTTGGCATTTGAAGGGATATCAGCTCGGCTAAGACGACCACCAACTTTCAAGATGCCGTTGTCTAACACAGGTCTAACTTGTAGATAAGACTGCATTTGGAAATATACCTTTTCAACTCCCTCTTTTCATTTTCCTGCATAATTTTAACTTCATCAGCGAACGCTTTACTCTGGACATGTTCAATCAATAGGTCAAGTAAAGCGGATGGCTGTCAGTATTAATACTGGTTGCGAAAACTGCTTTCACTTCGGCGTCACAGTCATCCAATGTTGACATTACAATTTGCTTAGGCCATTTGGATTCATCTTGCCACAGGAAAGGTGGTCTATGGAGCCAAGTGTAGTCATTGATTAACTGTGCAGGACGTGCGCCTCTCGAGGAAACATCTGCTGGGTTTGATCGAGATTCAACATACTTCCATTGGATCGACTGTGACTGTTCTCCAATGACATGAACTCGATTGGCAACAAATGTGTGGAATCATGCACTTTCATTTGATATGTATCTCAAAACTGCGGTGCTATCAGACTAATAATATACACAGTCAAAGTTCAACTCCATCTCACATTGCATCATGGCACTAATCTTAACCGCTATGTAGGCTGCATTTAATTCTATCCTTGGGACAGTTATTTTCTTGAGCGGTGCCACTCTAGACTTTTCTAGTAGAAATGAACAATGTACATCACGATCCTCATTGACCTGCCTCAAGTAAATAACGCACCCATACGACTTTGTTTATTAACAACCTTTCCAAATTCTGCGAACTAGTAACATCTGGGTATGGTCAAATGTTCAAGATGATTCAATTAATCACACCAACTTCTCCAGAGGTAAAAAAAAACTGATATTCATTTATCTCTTCATCCCAGTCCTTTCTTAATCTACATAATTCTTGAAGAATGATTTTGGCTAAAATGATGAACGGAGAGGCAAACCCCAGCGGATCATATAACAAACACTTGAATCCCAAAGTATCGTGTTGTACATTCCACTGAATGCCGAGGGCTCTCTCCACCGATAGATTATTCTGTTCTAAGTCTAAGTCCACAATTTCTTTTGCTCGGTCCCAGCTTGGGATCATAGACAGCACTTCTCTGCTATTACATATTCATTGGTCAGATTAAATCCTCCCCTTTGACACAATTGTTTCAGTTCATGGTTGAGGATGATTGCGCTTTCTTCATTCTCAACAGACTTAAGGCAATCGTCTATGTAGAAATTACGTAGCACGGTAGACACAGCCTCTTCACGAAAGGAATCCTTATTGACTCTGGCAGTTTCATGTAATGCATAGTTGGCGCAAGATGGCAAGAACATTGCGCCAAAAAAGATGAACTGTAATTTGAAAGACAACAGCTGGCTTTGTCAAATCTCCATCTGGCCAGCCCAAGAATCGTAACAGGTCTCGCTGATGCACTGGAACATGGACCTGGTAAAAAATAGTAGCTATGTCTCCCATGAAGGTAATCGGGTGGATACAAAATCTCAGAAGAACCCCAAGCAGATTGTTAAGTAAATTAGGACCTGTAAGAATAACATCATTTCAAATCAACTCCCATAAATTTGACAGCACAGTCAAAAATCATGATGTAGTATGTACCATTCTCTGCCTTCTTCAGCAATGTCGTCTACAAGAACCCGTTCTCCATAACCATGGAGATGATTTTGAACATAAATTCGTCGTATCCTTTCTTTAATTCTGGATTATTCTTAAGTTTCTGACTTAAAGTCTTGAGTCGCTGATGGGCTTTAATTTTATTACATGGTAACTTGACATTATCATCCATTAGTGGCAACGGCAGTTCATAATGGTTGTCTTTTAACATTTTTCCATCTTTTGCAACTCTGATGAACTTCTTTTCCTCTACTGACCACTTTCTTAGTACATGCGTTCTAATGCAACATCAGCTACATTTATGAAGTTGGTAGTGACACCCGTGGCTACATCTTTCTTCACACACATGGTATCTATATAAAGAGAGTTTTAGTTGCAAAGGATGAACCACTTGGACCGGTTCTGATTTCAATTGGAGAATAAGCATCAGCAACATTGTTCCCAATGAGAATGTCAACTGTGGATAGGTCTTCGAGGGATGTTAACGACACATCTTTGAGGTGGTCCCACATTCTAATCTCCTTCGTTGGAGGGATGTGCTTAGTAGCAACTGGAAGAACATTCATAGAGTACACATGTGGTAACTTGATTCTGAGTTTTCTTTCTACACTAGAAACATGCAAACCTTAAATAATACGAGTAGTAAAATTACGGGAATCTGAAATAGTGTCCAAGTTAATAGTTGTACTTGTCCCCTTTAAATTCAGAAGCGACAGGAGCTTTTGGCTACAAAACCACACATTACTCCATAAAAGCGTAACAGGTAACACACTTCCAGCCAATGCTAACTCGGACTGGTATAATGGGCAAAGAACAATGGGTTCTCTTATTAGCCGACATACGACTACTGCCTGTCACAGCATCCTTATTACTCGTCTTTTCAATAACTTTCTTTTTCTCTCAATAAAGTAGAGTGTTATGTTTACCCTTGCACTTGGCACACATAGTAATTGATTTAGCTGGACACTTTGGCTTGATATGTCGAAAGTTGAAACATAAAAAACAAACACCTTTACTTTTCAAGAATTCATATATCTGTTGAAAGAATATTTTTTTCGATTCCTGACACCTGTCCAGGCGATGCTTGCTTTGAAAATTACAACACTTCAACACTTCAACACTCGCTGCAGACTCCTTACTCTTGGATGGTGATTTTGCCTTGGAATAACGAGCTAGTTGAGCTTTACCAAACACGGGGTCATTAGCCTTTCTAGCTTCGGTGCTCACAAATTCCACAAGTTGCTTAAATCCAACACGTAGACTGTTTCTTTCATGTCGAACACCATAGTTCGCCATCTCTCCTGCAGACTATAAGGTAGTTTGCTGATGATTGTCTTGAGGTTCTCTGCAAGCTCCAGTATCCCGAAGCTTTCAATGCTTTGTGTTGCAGTTTCACATTCGGTGAGCAGAATGGATAATTCATCTAACGCATAGGGATCATCAGCCCGCACTTGAGGCCATGATAATACCTTTTTTCATAGGCATTAGCTATTACTTCAGGATCACCAAATCTTGCTTTGAGTTGTTTCATAGCAGCAGGGTATCCTACATCAGCATCCAGGTGAGCGAATTCGGATACTATCCTGTTGGCTTTACCACTGGTAAATTGCTTCAAATAATAGATGTTTTCAGCATTATTACAAATTCTTTCAATTCTCGATTTATATTGCCTGTTTAGTTTAATAGATAAAAAAGAATGCTGTAGCTCCTGTTTTTTAGATCTTGCCACAATCTTCGACACGATTGACCACCAAATTCTAATTCACCGTAATAGAGTGTATCTGGTGTTATTTAAATCTTTATCTTCATCTTCATCAGTAGTACGTGACGAAAAGTCCATTAAAGAACAATTACTGCCACGGTATTTTCAAGCGCATTCAGACGTCCATACTTTTTAGTATTTTATTTCATTTTATTTTATTTCCAACATCATCCAACAGCAAAACGCCAATTACAGGATGTCTTAAATAAGATACTGTACATATTATAAATATAACAAATTTTACAAAAAATATTGCGAAGAACATCCAAGGCTAAAAATTGCAGATACAAAAATAGAGAAAAATACAAAAAATATATATATAAACAAACAAATGCAAAACAAGTGAATAATTAATTAATTAAATTAAAGTAAAAATTTGACTGTGTTTAATTTGTTTTGTTCAAGTGTAACTATAATTTAACTTGTTTCTTGTTTATATTGTATTTGTTTGATGATGATTGGGAAGTTTGGCCATTGTACATCACTCTTTGTCTTCGATCTTTTAGGAATTGGTCAATCCAGTTTACATGCGAATACTTGATTGTGGCAAGGTGGTTGGCAACAGCAATAGCTACACCTCCCCCTCTTTTATCTTTATCTTGTGTATATACTGCAAAGTGTGGTGGGAAAATCTCACTTGAGAGCTACTTTGTTTACAATGCTGCATGCATTTAGACTCAGTATTTTCATCTTGTTTGGTTTAAATAATTTCGTTGGAATAAATTTATTATTATTATTATTATTATTTAACATAAAAATGACACCATGAAGGAGTCGAAACGTCGATCTTTTCTTTTTAGCGTTATTTTTATGTTAAATATTTATACAAAACGTACTCTTATTATTATTATTATTATTATTATTATTAGAATAAAAATGATAAGTAGGCCGGTCAGTATGCTCTTGACATTGGGAGCAGATCCATTCAATGTATGTAGTCTGTAACTGACAGTACACTTCATAGGCGGTATCGGAGCACGTATTGTGAATCCATTTGTTAAATTTGTCACATACGACAGCAGAATCAGTTGCTAACACCTGGTGGTTTGGCAGTACCATGGTTCATCAGACTCTTGAAGGACATCGTATTCGGTTATCAAAATGTTATTACTCCAAATATGCGACCATTTGTCACAGGTATCACATTGTATGGCCGGGTCACTTACTCGAATTAATTATTGCATTAGTTGCATTTGTGTCCTCTTATCTCTTGTAAATTGCTTTAAAAATGTTGATAATAATTGTTGGATCCTACCTTAGGCTGTAGTGTTCCAGTTTTATGAGCTTAGATTGCAGATCTTAATCGGAATTTGAAGCAGTTGGCACAGGTCCAGTACAAAATGGCGTGCGATATGCCGTGTCTGAGTAACATGGTGTGGGCGGGTCGTCAATGTTACTGCGGCTTGCTCAGGAAAAATTCAAAATAAAAACACCAAAACGACGAAAAGACAGGTTTGACAGGTTCACGAATGTTCAAAATGGGTGCAAGTTAGTGTAAGATGCGTTAAAATTAATGAAATGTGTTAAAATACAAAATACAGTAAAGATATATGTATAATAAGTGTAAAATAAGAACACGTCTAAACACAGCGAAGCGCCCTCAGATATGCAATCTGTTTAACCATGAAGCCTATGTGGTCTAGTGGTTATGACGCTCAGCTTGACAGCGAGATGTTACATTTAAAGGACAACATTCGTTGAGAGCAGTGCTACACGATGAATTTATGTCCTTTATTCTATTACACCTTTAACCTTTCTTTGATGGTTTATATAAAATTTAGCAGTGTTAACGGCTATCTTGATTATATTATATGCTATTATTTGTTTCCAGCCATACCTATTGTGTAATAGAATGTATCTGACGTTATTTGAATCTCTTCAACAATGAACCCTCTGTGGTCTAATGGTTATGACGCTCGTTTTAGCAACGAGAGGTCGCAGGTTCGAATCCCGTTGGAGGAATTTTATTACGTAATTTGTTTATTTATAGGAAAACATTTCTTGAGAACTATGCTACACGATGTACTTATGTCCTTCATTCGAATCAGTATTTACCCTTCTTTAATGATTTATATATAATAACGGTGTTAACTGTTAATCTTGATTTGATTAT